GCACACCTGTAGAAGGAGGTGAGGACTGAGCTTCCCAGACCAGCTCGTCTCAGCCGCCTGAGGAAGTAGAGTCTCTGATGAGCTTTCTTCATCAGGCTGGTGGTGTTGTTGCTCCAGCTGAGGTTGTCATTCATGTGTACACCCAAGTGCTTGTAGCTGGAGACCACTTCCACCGCAGATCCTCTTATGTTCAGGGGGTGTAGGTGTGTTTGTTCCTTCTGAAGTCCACAATCATCACCTTCATCTTCTTCACATTGATGTGAAGGTTATTCTCTTTGCACCAGCTCTCCAGGTGTTTCACCTCCTGCCTGTAGCTGGACTCATCATTGTTTGTGATGCATCCCACCACTGCTGTATCATCTACAAACTTGACATAACAGCCTGGATGGGTAGCTGCACAATCATACGTGAGCAGAGTGAACGGAAGGGGACTCAACACACATCCCTGAGGAGAGCCAGCGCTGAGGGTTATGGTGGAACAGGAGAAGTTGTGGATCCTCATAACTGGTCTGTTTATTAAGATGTCTAGTACCCAGTTGCAGATGGAGGGGCTTAGTCCTAGTGTGGATAGTTTGTCCATCAGGGTTTGGGGGATCATGGTGTTGAAGGCGGATGTGAAGTCCACAAAGAGCATACGGACGTAAGAGTTCTTCTGCTCCAGGTGGTTGACCGCAGTGTGGACCACAGAGGAGATTGCATCCTCTGTTGATCGGTTCTCACAGTATGCATACTGATGAGGGTCCTCGTTGATGTTGATGGTTTTGATGTGAGTCATGATGTTTTTCGAAGCATTTAGAGACCATCGGGGTGAGGGCCACTGGCCGATAGTCATTCAGACCAGTCACTTTAGAGCTTTTTGGGACTGGGATGATGGTGGCAGTCTTCAGGCAGGTGGGAACTGTCTCCAGGGTAAGTGAGGTGTTAAAGATGTCTGCCAGCACCTCGCAGAGCTGATCGGCACATTCTTTCAACACTTTTCCGAGGATGTTTTCTGGGCCGGTTGCCTCGTGCAGATTAATCCTCCTGAAAGTTCTCGTTACTTTGGCTGAGGTCACGCTGAGGAGAGGAAAGCGGCTCTTTACTAACATTGTGTTCAGTGAAGGTGGGATGCTATTGACCTCAACCAGTGATGTCGTCGGGAGGTGGAAGGAATACTTCTCGAACCTTCTCAATCCCACCGTCACGTCTTCCATGGAGGAAGCTGAGTCAGAGGACTTTGAGGTTGGTCCGTGGCTGAGGTCACCGAGGTAGTTAAAAGGCTCCGAGGCAACAGGGCTCCAGGGGTGGATGAGATTCGCCCTGATTTCCTTAAGGCT